AAATTCCAGGATGGCAAGCCTGGGTAGAGTCTCCTTGCCAGCCTGAACGTCAGCTATACCACGTCCCCACCCTCATGTGGCCTGACCCGAGGTTCTTCTGGTGGAGATGCCCTCTGTCACCCTGCCACTGGCCCAGCTCATGAGAGCCATTATCAAATATGTGAGCGTTCTTTAAAGGAGTGAGGGTGACTCACGGGAAATTCACATGGTTCCTGCTTTCCACGGCGAAGTTCGCATTTTCCTCACCTGCACTCTATGTTCTGCTGTGGTCCTTTGCGCTGGTGGTCATGGTCCTCCTGTCACAGCATGGGACAGTAGTGGATCAGGAAACGAGGTGGTGGTTCTCAGAAAAGGCATGATGGAAACCCAGAGCAGGAAGTGCTTTGTGCAGATGACAAGGAGCCTTTTTGCTTTTTCAGTTGGTTTCTCTTTTCTACTTACCTTTCATCCCTTTACAGCGTCATCTGTTTACTTTACCTCTTTCTTACCTCCAAGCTCAAAAACGTGGCAGGAGAGGATGTAACTGAGGTTCCCACGATAATTTAGAACACAGGAAATACAACCTGTCTTGCTTTGTATCAGGTTTTTTCTGGTAAGGAAGAGCTTTAATATCTTATGGCATGAAACTAGCTTTCCTGTGAAAAATCTAGAGTTAGCTTATCTCCAGGTAGGTACCTACTTTTGTGATCTCCACACTCCATCTCATTTTATGGGCCAGGTCTGGAAGTGCAGTTTGGAGATATCACCTGCTCTGCAGGGAGATGGGCCTCGGGGCCTCCCTCTCTGTGGTAAGGTGCTTACTCCCAGTTGTGTATTGGTTGTGACTTCTAGCAATGCCTGTGCTCAACTGTACTTCGTGGGCTGGCCTGATAATTGATGTCAGTTATTTTGTCTAAAACTCATTTCAGAAATGAAGATCTAGCAAAATGAAGTGACTCACTGAATTGCTGTACTCACAAAATTCCGTAGCTTTATCTCACAGTTTCTTTTATTAAGCTTCGATCCACTTTGTCTACTAATGGAAGAGCAAATCCTCCGTGTACCCCATCTCAAGGTACTGGGGTTGCCTCCTCTGGTGACGTGTTGAGGATACAGTGTTTGTGGGAACATTGATGGAAGTTTAGTTGTGTTGGACGGTCATATTACAGGCACACCTCATTTTATTGTGCTTTGCTGTATATGTCTTCACTGATACTATGGAGTTTCTTTTCCATATTGAAGGTTTGTGGGAACCTGCTTCAAGCAGATCTGTTGGTGCCGTTTTTCCAACAGCATGTGCTCACTTTGTTGGCATTTTTTTAAGCAATAATACATTTTTAAATTAAAGTATATAATTGAGTTCTTTAAGACATAATGCTGTTGCTCACTTTCTACTATCATGTAGCATAAACATTTTAATATGCACTGGGAAACCAACACATTTGTGTGACCCAGTTTACTGTGATGTTTGCTTTATTGCAATGGCCTGGAACCAAGTCTGCAGCATCTCCGAGGGATGCTGTACAGAGAAAGCTGTCTCTTCGCAGTTCTTCTGGGTGTCTGAAAACATATCCACCAGAAACACCAAGTTGAAGTCATGTTCTCCCCTCTGCCTATTTCTGCTGGCTCTGCTGTCCATTTAGAAGCACGTGGGAATGGCACGGCTGGGTGAGTTAAGAGGGTATGACAGTCGGGAGTGCATTTGATCTATAATTCATCGCCATGATGTGAGGCTTTTAGGAGATAGCTAAGAGAAATGTAGTCAAGCCTGGACAGAGTGTAAAAAACGAACATTTGGCTGCTGCTGTCACAGCCTGTAAACGTGGCCGGATGATGGTGGGACCCAGGGGACAGAGCGGCACTTGACGCCTGCTGAGCAGAGGCTTAGTGGGAAGGCGGCGGGGGGCATCCCATCCTCCCAGCCCCAGCGTTCAAGGGACCGCGAGTGGACAGCCCCAGCTTCATCTGTGAGCTGTTTGAAATCTCTAGCAGCAGAATGGGATTCTGAGTGGGGACGGTTTTGTGGGATGAGGGTATTTGGTTTATCAGTTCCCTGATTCTTAGTTAATAGTGATTTTCTGAGGCATAGAAGATGAGACTGCTTTAGGCAGGACCAGCTCTAGAAGCGCCGAGAGCAGGTTTGTCTCCCGAGTGGTGACTGTGAGGTTTTGAAGTGCCTGCCAAGCCCCCATGCCAAGGCCTGTGTTCTGGTTTTAAGAAAAAAGCACTCTTTGGCCAGGTAAATCTTTTATTTACAAACTTGTGCGTCATTTCTCATTCCATTTAGGCCTTCCTTTTTGCTCAGATGTTTGGGTTGACTTTAAGCATTTGGCCCGAGTTTCTAACTTGGAATTAACGACCATGGGCAGAGTTCCACAAGAATTTCTCAGCTGGACAAGTGGAACACAAAGGACCCGAATTTTCTCTTCCCCTCAGATCGTCCATAGGTGAGATGTATGTGAACAGTGGAGAACGGAAGGCCTCACTGTTTTGTTTATATTTACCAGCAAACTATTATGGTTTGTAGGAAGAGCTGCCTCCTCCCCCACCCCCCAAGTAGCAATGAATGTGGTTTGAACTGAGGGTCAGGAAGAGGAAAGTGGCAGGTTCACTGGAAAGCTGCAGAGGGGCCTAGTTCTCACAGCGCACTGGCACCTCTCAGGACTCGGTAGCTACAGAACCAGGCCAGTTCGCACAAGAGTTAATATTAGTTCCACCTGGGATGTTCTGCAGCAGGGACACAAAGCTTTACAGTGGCAGTTACTGAAATTTGCTAGTTTAGGGCTCTTGATCAAATTGCTGACAACATAGTTTTTCAGTATCATTGTTATTAGAGTTTTAGGAGAGGCAGTTTTTGAAGATGAGTGTTTTAGATAACACCTCGCTGGTAATTAATATTCTTTGGTTTTCTATGTAGGCTGTAAAGTTGTTTTATGCCATGAGGGTGTGGAGAGAATGGTTTAAGAATTGGAGAGGAGAGCAACTGTGTGCCAGAACCTTCCAACTGGGTGGGTGAGAGTGCTTTTGGGAACCTGTCCATATTCTTAGCACACATCATGTCTTGCCCAAAGTGCTCAGAAACAACTAGTTGAAGTTGGGCACGGTGGCACGTGCCTATAGTCCCAGCTACTCAGGAGGCTGAGGCGGGAGGATGGCTTGAGTCCAGAAGTTTGAGGCTGCAAGTGAGCTATGAATCTGCCACTGCACTCCAGTCTGGGCAACATAGTGAGACCCTGTCGCTTAAAAAAAAAATTCTTTATGTCACCTTGACAGACACCAAGAATTCTTGTCTATTGGAACACAGAATTCAGGGGAGGGATGGGGCAGTAACAATTGCAAGCTAGTCCATGAAAGTAGGGCGGACACACACACACGCACGCCCTGGGTCCAGGTGAGTCTGAAGCCCAGGTGTGATTAATTGGCAATATAATGTTCATTTTGTGAACTGTTAAGATTCTTTTCAAATTCCTTTGTCATTTTGTTATAGACATGGAAAGCATGGTATTTAATTTCAGATGCCACTTTTATAGTTATGTCAGTTTGACATTAACAAGGAAGGGTTCATTTGGTAATCACACAAAAAGATGGGCTTAGTTACCATCTTTCTGGAGCCTACAAATTGGGACATTTTGCATGGGAGCCAGAGCCAACAGCCTGCCTTTTTCTTATTCCAAGTTCTTGATTCCAAAAGACATACTGCATTCATTCCTGTTCAGTAGTGACAAAAAGGATAACTTTGCACAGACCCTGATGAAGCTGGTATTTGACTGGTGAGTGGAAATATATTTGGAGGTCACACTAGGTTAGTAAATGCCATCCAGACTTGTCACTTGCACATCACGAATGACTATCATCAGCATGGGGAAGATCGGAGCGCTCATCCATCCCAAGGCTTCCTGTAAAAAATCATAGGTGACTGTGTTCAGCCAGTGACTGGCTGGGATGGAGTCCGGGCAGTCCTGAGGCAGCAGAGCCCCTTAAGAGCTCACTAGCCTCTATTCCTTAGCTGTTTGGCCAATCTCTGGCGCCTGAGTTGGAGCTCACAGGTGGACCAAAGGCAGATCAGGCCGGCCTGAGAGCCATGCTGGCGTGGCCTTCTAAGCCTGGGCCCAGGAAAGCTTTTGGCCTTCTAGTTACACGAGTTGGAAGGCAGTGGACACAGCCTGCATGTGGTGGCTAGGCCCCTCTGCAGGCGGGCTGTGAGAGCCTAACTGTGAGTCATCTCAGTGCCCAGCAAGACGCAGTAGTGGTTGTTGCCACTGCTTGGATGTAAGCACTATTTTTTTGCTTTCTCCTTTTGAGGGAAAAAGAGTAGGTGAGAGTGTATATAAAACACAATTGTCTTGGCAATTGGTGCCCAATTTTCCACTTCCTTTTTTTATTTTTTTAAAATATGGTTTTAGAGACAGGGTCTTGCCCTGCTGCCAAGGCTTGAGTGCAGTGGAGCAGTCATGGCTCACTGCAGCCTTGACCTCTTGGGCTCAAGCTGTCCTTCCTTCTCGGTCTCCTGAGTAGCTAGGACCACAAGTCCTAGTGCACCTGGCTAATGTTAAAATTATAGAAACAGGGTCTTGCTACATTCTCCAGGCTGGTCTCAAAACTCCTGGGATCAAGCAAGCCTCCTGCCTCAGTTTCTCAGTGTTGGCATTACAGGTGTGAGCCACCATGCCTGGCGTAAGATATATTTAAGTCAGCAGAATGCCTAAGTGACATTTTAATATAACTCAGAAAATCCTGAGTCAAGCTTTGTAGGCTGAGGTAGATGAGGGACCTCCCTTGAGGTCCCTCTGCCTCTGGTGTCCTTGTAGCTCACCAGCCGCTGTGGTCGTGCCTTTGCAGGCTTACTCTCTGGCTCTCCCCGGTGTCTGCTTCCTCCTTTAATCTCTTTGTGCCTAAGCTCAATGGCCAGTGCTTAGCTCTGCCGAAGCCTGAAAATGGGAAGGAAATCTGCTGGCCTCTTGTCTGCAGTGTGGGATACATGTAGTTGGTCTTGCTAAAAAAGAATTTGTCAAGCAATGGTGTGAGGGCTGGAATAAACACTTTATTTTTTAAAAATGACAATAGAAAAGTACCTTTAAACAGTTATGAAAGCGGAGGAGACTGTGCAGAAGCAGCCGTCTGCTGTAGAGGAGCACAGGCATCTCACCAAGACCAAGTGGCACTGAGGGCATAAGCAGGTCCTTGAACACCAAAGTGGATCTGTCACAAGTCCCCGAGCTAACTGCCCTTTCCCCTTATTTACGCTAAGAAAGAGCCCTTCACTCCTGGCCTTGGTTTTTTTGTGGTGACCTTTAAAAGGTTCTTGACATCTTTATTTCCAATGGAAAATAACAAAACAAAACCCCAAACCAACCAGGTAATCATGACATTGAAATTTTCAACATAAGCCGAGCAGATCAATAGGAAAGACTGTGATTGTGTTTGGCAACTGAATTTAGGTCAATGTGATTTTACAAATGGCTTCTGTACAAGGGGAGAGGTTGAGCTGTCATGAACTCTGGAGATGTGTCAACTGACAACACCAGACTGACTTTGGCTTTGACGAAGTCTGAACAGAATTGGTTCCAAATGCCCACTGCCTCCGTCTCCTGTGCGGTGTGGCGTCTCGTCTCACAGTGAGCAGACGCCATTTGGGAGCTCATGGGATGTGGTCGGTTTGGCCTAGTGCCGCAAGAGTTGGGAATACCAGCTCAATTCAGCCAATGTTTTGCAAACATCACTTTGGAGATAGAGACATGAGCTGCCCACTGCAGCCAAGTGGGTTGGGCACAGCCAGCCCCTTCATGGGCCAGGGCTGGCCTCCCAAGCCAAGGTTTCCCGTTACCAGTGAGGCAGGCTCTGCACTTCCACTGGGGGAGAGGGGTGCGGGGCTGGCTTGTGGAAGGTGGGTGAGGCATCGAGTGGCTACATGTACAGGAGAGTGGAAACATAAAACTGTACAAACTCACACTTGGCACACCGTTGATACAGTCACAGCTGGAGCTGCCAGGGCTTTCTAAGGGCACACTCCGCAGTTCTTACCAACGATGTTTTCTTGCCCAGTTGTGAATAAGCCATAGGTAGAAGCTCCTGGAGGCTTCTGGTTGATTGTCTTGCAGGGCTGTCCTACGAGAACTGGGATCCTAGACCTAACACTGCAGATAACAGTTCTGTTTCTAACACCTACCACCACGCTACTAATTTACCCTGGACTTTGGCCAGGCACAGATTTCTATATATTCACAATACAATTCAGGAAATTTTGATATTTGGAAACATGCCTCAAACATGCAACTTACTTCAGAGGAAAAAAATAGATATTTTTAATTACAAGCATTCAAAAGTCAAGCACAAAAACTGTGATCCAACCCAGTGTAAGATTGTCCATCCCAGCATACTTAAAATGTTTGGTATAAAAATACTCACTTTTCTTGGTTTTATTGTTGACTTCTCTTACGTTTCGTTTGAAAATATCTCCAAACTGTACAGAAATTTCAGACCATGCATTCACAAATAACACGCTATTTCTTATAATTATACAGTGTAAAAGAGTAAAACATTTTTATTATATTTTTTCTTCGAGAAAAACAGATGTGTGATAGAGGCTGTGGCAAAGTCTTGAAGGGATCAAAACTGGGCAAGGTTTTTTCAAGCCTGAAACAGAAAGAAAACATGTTAGGAGAGCAGGTGTCAACCGCTCCCTGGTTGTGATGGCTTCGTCCTGGAGATGCTGTGGATGGGAGAACGATGGCTTGGATGACAGTGTGCAGACGTGTGTATACAACATATTTACTGACCACACACACACGTGTCAGTGGCCTCACCTTGGTGAGATACATGCGGCAAGCCCTTGACTCCCACTCACAGAGCCCGACCCCGGCCCAGAGGTTTTCTTGAAACACATCTCAGCTATATTGTATTATTCGGTCACTCCTTTTCCTGCCATCTCACCAGCATGTCTCACACGTTTGAGAAATTGTAGAAAAGGTGTATGCAGAAGGCAATCAGCTCAGCATATGCATGGTGTGCAGAAAGAGGCTATAAAGAAAAACTGATAATTACTGATAACCTATCTAAATGTCCCAAGTTAGATTTGGGAAAATGTGTTTAAAGTCCTGAAATAAGAATATTTAGGAGACCACTGAAACATAGTGTATGGGATGAGCTTGTAAATGTTCCTTTCTATACAAACCAAATCTGTCCAACTTGGATCTGACCTGTGACCCAGTATACCTTTTTCACTTCCCAGTTTTTGGACGACAGTACGAGTGGATAGCGGTAGTAACGGCCAGCGGAGCAAGGGCAGGCCAGGCAGAGCTTGCCACAGCGGGCCATGGATACTCCAGACCTCTGTGACGGGAAGCTAATACTTGCCTGTCTCTCTTCAGGTTGTGGCAAATAATATAGTTCTAGCACATCTGCTTAAGTATGCTTACTGTAGACAGCCCTCAAGGCAGCCCAATCCAGACTCATCCCTGTGCACCCCTGCCCTGTCCCTGCCCTTTTACACCGACCTCCTCTCCTGTCCTCTCGGCTCATCTGCTCCTTCCACTCCACCATCACCATCTTAGGGCTGCTGGTGCGGATGTGTGCTTCTACCTTGAATCTTCATCCACTTTGCTTCAGGCAGCAAGACAACATTCCTAAATCAATCACTCTCCACCTCTGCTTATCTTTCCAATGGCTTCCAAATCCCTAACACATCCTTCAAGGCCTTCAAAAGCCTGGCCGCGGGCTACTTTCAACAAGAGCGTGCTGTGCCTCTTCTTACTTCCTCTCTTCTGTTCTAGTCCCCTCAGCACATACAGGCCCCACTGTCTTTCAGAACTCACGCCTCCGATCTCTCTGGCCTAAGGGCTTCCTCCTCTAAGCTCCTCGCAGGGGTTCTCACTGACCAGGGCACTTTGGCTTCCACAGGGATGATCTTGTATTATTTTCCTGAGACCCTCTCCTCCTCCTAAAACCCCAGACACAGTCACTTGCAGGTGGCCCAAATGCAAACCCTCCAAACACTTAGACTGTAGGACACACAAAACAGGAGTGATGGGTCATTTATGGCATGTGGCACCGAGACACGGGCCCCTGGGGTGGATGACATCTGGCCTGGGAGCAGGAAACTAAGGGTGGGGACCCACTTTGGGTTCTGCACACCAGCCCAGAGGCACCCTGAGCCCTCCATGGGTAGGCATGGCCCTGATGAGGGGGATGTGGCGCCTCCAGCTTTCCTGGATAATGACCCACGCGGCTTCCCAACGGCTCGGCCCCTGAGCAGGCGGAATGGCTGCCTAGGAGGGCTAATCTGAAGGGAAAAGGAACATGGGCAGGAGGAGGGCGGGAGCAAGTCTAGTTTTCTGGCCCTTCCATAACTGCTGTGTAAATGAGATCCTCGTATGGAAAGGAATGTAGTCACACTACCACAGATGATCCCAGACTGAACAGAAGGTCAGAATGTGGCTATTTCAGTCCCTGTAAACAAGGAAGAGGTTTAGCTAGGAGCGGAGTTCAAACCTTGGAATGTCTTAACAAGGACATTTTAAACAGAATCCAGAGACATCCCGGAACACAGCCCCGCGGAGGGATGGCGGGGTCAGGGTTGGGAACACATAAGGCTCTGATTAGGAGCAGGTTCTTCTTGCGGGGTCTTCCTGGAAGGGGCCGACTATGACATACAGGTGATGGGATGTCAAGACAGGAAGCAAATCTCCTTATCTCAGGTAAGTGGGAACAGTCCCAGTTTGAAGACACTGAAGAATGTCTCCTGGTCTCTTAAGGAATATTACACAATTCTAAAACACTGCATTTCGGGTCTCTGCTAGAACTCAGAACGCAAGGGCAGATGGGCCTGGGGTCAGGATGCTCGCTACCTGCCCCTCCCTCTGCGGTCTCTTCGCACCCAGTCAGGGTCTCGGTCCAGTGCCTTAGGAGATTGTTCTCCCAGAGGAAAGACTCTCTTGATCCATCTGTGGCTCCTTGACCTAATTCCTGAGGATTCCTTCCCCAAGAGTTTCCAACGATTCCTCATTACCAAGTCAGATGAGGAATATTCTCCCCCAACTCCAAACAAACATGGACTATCATGTGGCAAAGGTTCCTAGTTAAGAGTGCTTCCGTTTTCATTTAATACCTGTCAGCTTCATCTTCAAAAACATCAGGCACTGATAAAATTTGTAACAGAGATTTTCAAACATGTCATTGAAAAAGTTCACGCTCTCTGAAGCCTCTAAGGGCACAGTGTTCTGCAGTTTGGAGCTCCACTCCAGCCCTGGGGGCCCATGGAGAGTGGCCCATCTCTGCTCTACAAGGGTAGGTCACATAAGCAGTGTCGTCTGACCTCAGATTTGGGAAGAGAAAAGCCCCCTCCAAACTTGCCCCTGTATCCCAGGGAAGGCCCCAAGAAATGGTGAGCCCCACCTTAACACATGGTGCTGAGAAGGCCACGGCTGCCGCCGCGCTCTCAGGCACATCCGGGGCATCTGCAACCTGACCCTCAGCTGCCCCAGGACTGTGACCCAGACCTGCCCTCTGTCACTAGGCCCTTCCATGGCCTGCCAGGAAAGCTCCCCTGCTCCTTGCATTGTTGATACTTTGGTTGACTTGCTGCATTTAAAAATCATGACGTCAGCCAGGCGCGGTGGCTCATGCCTGTAATTCCAGCACTTTGGGAGGCCGAGACGGGCGGATCACGAGGTCAGGAGATCGAGACCATCCTGGCTAACACGATGAAACCCCGTCTCTACTAAAAATACAAAAAATTAGCCGGGTGCGGTAGCGGGCGCCTGTAGTCCCAGCTACACAGGAGGCTGAGGCAGGAGAGTGGCGTAAACCCAGGAGGTGGAGCTTGCAGTGAGCCAACACAGCGCCGCTGCACCCCAGCCTGGATGACAGAGCGAGACTCCGTCTCAACAAAAAAAAAAAAAAAAAAAATCATGACATCTAACCAGCATTCAAAACTTGCGTAAGCGGAAAAAAATGTGTAAGTGGCTTAACTGACTTTTAAATATCCCCAGGAGGAAGAACAAAATCATGTCTTTTAAAAAAGTCTGCATGAGTGATGACTGTTAAGAGCCATGACAAAAGGAACAGCTAACACGCTAGAAGGCCGTGGGCCTGGTGGGATAGACCCAGCTGCCGTATGTGATGTGAAAAAAGCTTGGGTTAGTGCAAGAAACAGGAGCCCCAGGAAAAATGCCCCAAGTGCAGGGTCCAGCTCCCTGTCGGAAAGCTGCCTGGGGTGGTGGGAGGCAGGCTTCCCAGTGGAGCACACACCTAACGCCTGCTCCTGGTTCGGCACTGAGAGGTACCGTCAGAGTATGAAGTGACTTAAGCCCCTCAAATGCGGTCCCACCTCCTTGGCCAGAACTGCTTGGTTCTCTGTCCGTAGCAGGAATCTTGTTCCTTTCGGATCCATCTTTTTTTACAGGCCCCTCAGAGGGATGCAGCCTGCCGCTTTATTTAGGCTGAGACATAAACCGCCACAGACTTGCCCCTGGCGTTCCCGCCGCTCTAAGCCAGGTTTTCCAGAGACCCAGCAGCAAGGTCACCTCTGGGGATGCTACATGAGGATTTTTTTTAGACTACATTTCTGCTAGTAGCTAATGAACTGAGGAGTGACAGGTGATACCAACTGAAAAGACAGATCACCAAAAAATCATGACCTACTAAAAGGCCCACAGTCTGGAGAAATTCACTGAGAATTCTATGATTCAGTCATGCCCAAGGGTAATTATCCTGTGTCCCCAAGTCATCAAGAAATGGCTGATCATACTCAGTATAACTGGATTAATAAGATGGGGGGATATACACATTACAACTGAAACAATTTCCAACAAAATGATTAATTTCCCCCAAAAAAGGTGACACTTAAAGGGAAAAGCTTCATTTCAGTAACATTTCCTTAAGTGGAATCCCTCACTCCAGGTGCTGCTGGATAGCCACATGTTCATGGTACCCAAATACTGGGGCGATGTGCTTTAAAAACGTATTAGCTGCTGTCCTGGGATGACCTTCCCTCGGCAGGCCGTGTTGGAGCAGATGTTAAAGAGCTCCGGGCAGAATCACCCGGGGTGGAGGGGCAGGAGCACCTGGAATGCCAGACCCCACCCCCAGAGGCCCACAGTTCCCATGTGTTCACACTGGCCAACACCGCCGTGCCCCACCCAGGCCATGCCGCCCCTCTGAGGGCTGGTGTAGCCCTGACTCTGTTACTCACCAGCATGCTCCAGTTCTGTAGAACAGCTAGAGAACAGTAGCCACCACTGAAGATTGCATTAATACCCACAAGACAGATTGCAGCCGCCATCACACACCTGGGACCTGGGATGGAGAAAGATCACCTGTTAACGGTGCACAGTCAACTCCACTTGGGGCTGCCTTGGTCTTGAACACCGGCCTGTTCTGAGGGCAGAGAGCCGAGAGGCAACGACAAAAGAGATCAAAGGCCTCTGCTGCTGAGCTGAGGATGAGAGGCTGCTGCAGGATGGCCTGGGATATGCGACATGAAAAGCTCTCAGCCAGGAAAACACACTGAGGAGTTGGTGGAGCAAGTGAGAGGAGGCTCCTGGGGGTCAGCAAGGAAGGATATTCCAAGAAAAGCATGTGAACTCTTCACTGAGGGTGCACTAGGAGGCTGCGGGCCCAGCAAGCAGGACTCTGCACCCACGTCCCTGTGGTTGCATCCCAAGGGCTGTGGCCTAGACCCCGAGGACCGTCCAAAAGCCCTGCAGAGGAAAGGCATGGGACCTGAGGCGCCACACAGCAAGATCCAGAAACAACTGCCTCCAGGAGGCTTCGAAACACAGCCGTTTTGGTCAGCCCAAGGCCGTAAGAAATCCCTGTCTGTCACAGGCACCAAGGACTAAACTTTGCGCCAAGCACCTCCTGGAAAACAAAAACTAAAAGGATGCACATTTGTGAACCCATCTGGCTACTCCCTAGGGTCTAAGAATTTTGAAATACGAAGGTGCAAAGACCCAGCAAAGAATCAGTTTCTAATATTCCCCCTGCAGGCACAGCTGTCCCCAAGCCGGCTGGTTACAGCAAGGATTCCAGCCAGGGAAGGAAGCCCAATTCCCTGCATGTGGACACCAGCGGTCTATTTCCCACTAGCGTTTCTCAGATCTCCCTTACTGCAGACAGACCGTGTCCACTATGCGAGGCTTTGAGAACTGGAGCGCATAACGCACTGCTGTGCACCGTCCGGGTTCCCCAGAAACACCTCCGAGTGGCCCCACCAGGACTCTTCAGGGGGAGGGGACTGCCTGTGCTGAAACCCAGCTCTGGAATCAAGGGTGAGCCTGAAGACTACCTCCCTAGGACATCTCTCTCCTCAGATTTAAGGAAGAAAATATTCTCCCCAGAGCTTCACTATACAACATTAGATGTGATTCTAGTTTCCTAGTAAAAGTTGGGTTATGAGAACAGGAAAATAATTATCTTTGCACATGAAACCTATCAGCTCACCCAACCTCTCCAGGCCCCCTCCACATGGGAGGGAGAGCACGAGCCACCCAGAGCTGCAGAGCCAGGCCACGCTTCCTGGGAGGCTGCATTTTTAGGATTAAGAAGTCTCGGCTTCAGCTAATCAGTGCGACTCATACAAGTACTGGGATCTTGGGACCCTCCCTCTCCTCCATGTCCCCAGGAGCATAGGGGACAACCTGCTTCTGGGACCTCAATAACAGTTGTCTGCACCCCCGGGGTTCCCTGGGGTGGGGCAGTGCCATGAGCCAGAGTCCGGCCAGGAACTGCTCTCAGGAGTCGTGGAGCCCCTGGGCCCCATGGCCTGGTCTGAACTTGTGGCTGCCCTCTGTGAACTTCTTCCAGGGAAGAGTCAGGCAGCTCTGCTGGTGCACATGCTCAGGAGTCTCCAAGGACTCCAGACAGAGCCACAGAAAACAGACAATGGGCAGAAGCAGGTTGGGGGGGCTGCAACTTTCACTGCATTTGGTTGTCACGTGGTTTGCAGAGGAGCTTGGTAAGTGCTTGTGATGTGGCACAGTCCAGAGGACAGTGGTGGTTGGAGGGGCACCCACTGCGTCCACAGGACTGGCAGCATGGGGGGTCTTCAGGCCCACCCCAACTTTAGAACTCAGATGGGAACTGTAACAGACCCCAGAGCTGGAAGGAATCGCAGAACCAGGCTTGCGTCTCCTCACTGGGGAAGTGGAGAAAGGTCTCTGAGGGCCCTGCACACTCTCCCAGTGATCCCTTAGTGCCGCACAGGAGCCACGCCTGCTGCACTTCCAGTCCATTTACTTTAAGATTACAGGAGTTAAATGTTTTCCAGACTTCACTAAAGGAGTGTGTTCTGACAAAGAAACCCCGTATAAAGCTGGTGAAGTTCTAGGTCTTTGCTGAGATGTTACCTTCTCAGGCGGACCCTGACTGCTCTGCTACCTTGAAGCAGAAGGCACCAGAAGTGCCGGTCCCACCACACAGCACTAAGCTGCTTACTGGCCTTACTATTTATTCCCTGAATACTATCACCACCCAAAATATTATGTTTATTTGACTACCTATTACCCATCTCCTCCCTGAGACGCTGCAGCTGCTCACTGTATCAGCCTTAGGTGTGACGGACACTTATGGCGTTCGTAGCCTTAGGTGTGATGTGCAGACCTCACAGCCTCATACTGGTTGCTGGGTGCACCGCAGTGTGACAGCGTGACACGGACACGAGGCTTTCTTCTAAGGGGAGGCCAGGGTGACAGCAGGAGCCACCGCAGCTGTCTGGGCCTCCGGAGCCCCAGTGCCTTTCCTCCTTGTTAAGCTCTAAGCTCTACCCGGGCACCAGCACCTGGGGCTCCACTGAGGATGACTCCAAGCTCACGGCCAAAGACAGGCAAGGCCGTTCCACCCAAAACAGAAGAGAAGGTTAAAACAGCTCCAAATTCCGCTGTGTTCTCTGTTCTCTCTTGCCATTTCCTTCTCCAATTTGGGGAGGCTGTAACTACATGTGCTTATAATTTCTGGGCTCCGGTCCCAGTCCATGGCCAGGAAAGTTTCAAGAGTCCTGAAAGAAGACCTCCCCCTACATCCCATTTGGCTCCCAAACGTTGGTTCTTCCCTTTCATGAACAGTTCAATTCTATTTGAATATCCTTCAAGGAAAGTTGCCTCACTCTCACTGCATGTAAGGAGTGACGACAGCATTGCTCATGCTCTCCTGTTCTCACTCTATCTGGGAAACTGACTCTTTTCAATGGCGATTCTGTATTCTGGGCTCTCTGGCACATGGCTGGACCATCAGCAAAACTCCAGTGATGCAGACAGAGCCTGTGGCCAGACTCAACACCATCCGTCAGCAAGAGGCGGAGCAAATTAAAACACCAGTAACACCCTCTCCCCCTCTGAACACCCCTCTCCTGATGGCCTTGCTTATGCCACAGCGACAGCATGCACATGGCCTGTACCTGCTCTCAGCTTGGCTGTCCTCACAGCAGGCTGGTCTTGCAGGATCGTGTGCAGTAACTCCCTCTCTTGTCCATGTGTCCACAGTTCTCTGTCATTAGAACTCAGCCTCCTGAGGGGCACAGGCCTGTTTTTTCATTTTCCTATCTTGCACACAGCAGACACAACACGTTTGTCTAGAGAATAAAGGGCTTATTTACATTTCTAATCTAGTCACTGATTTCTCTTGAGCACTAAGAAGTCCAAGTAGATAAATGAAAAATCCTTGAAGGGCCTCTGGGAGTGCAGGCCCTGGCCTTTGAGGATTTGGAAGGACGGCATCACTCCTGCTCGTCTTCTGTTCTTTCCATGCTTGGAAAACGAGCTGGGGAAGAAAGCCCTGTCCGCCGAATGGAGACAGCCACGTGAGCCTCTGCCAATGAATGGTATGTGCCTTTCATTTGGCCTTTTTGACAGACTTGTTCTAGTTTAAAAATGTTTATATTAGCTCATCAGCACCACTGTTTCCAATTCTAATTTACTTTCGCCTAAGATTACACAGCTTGGATTATAGGGCATCTTGGAAAGGACTTGATCCAAGAGGCTAGAAGGAACTGAAATAGCAGATCTGCACTGAGCTGGTCTAACTTTAGATGGGCTGGGAGACTGGACTCTCCCGCGGGCAGGAATAATGGGCACCATTATCCATACTCCTTCCTCACCTGCTCCCCACAGGCTCTGAGGAAGGAGTCTGGCCCATGGCCCAAGCTTAGCTCAGAACAAATGATTCATCCACGGGAGACATTACATATTCTTTTTTTTTTTTTTTTTTTTGAGACAGTCTTGCTCTGTTGCCCAGGCCAGAGTGCAGTGGCATGATCTTGGCTCACTGCAACCTCCACTTTCCAGGTTCAAGTGATCCACCTGCCTCAGCTTCCCAAAGTGCTGGGATGACAGGCGTGAAGCACTGCGCCTGGCCCATTACATATTCTTATTCGGATCTTACAGGGTTTTATAAGCCGTACTTCGAAAGGAGGGCAATTGTTCATCCTTCTAGTAGCCATTGCTGAAGGGTCTGTGAGAAATGATTTGGAAAAAAATTAGGTGAGCAGATACAAATGAAACCCAGGATCTCTGTCACTGGAACCCACGCAACTGCTTCACAATGGATGTCTTCTCTGTGGCCTACATCAATTCTTAAGGGGAAAAAAGCCCTTCCTTAGGTCCCAGGCCAGCATCCTTTGCCAACTTCTCTACCAACTGAAATCGCCAAGTCGATGGTCTTCTCTCACCACGCTTGATTTTCCTAGAGCATCTGACAGAAGTGGCTGGCGCCCCCTGCTCCTCCAGCTCCCTCTCCACTCTCTGGGGGATGCTCTTTCTCTGTTGACACTTGGCTCTCAGATGTGCTCGGCGAGTGGCCTCTCTTCCAGTTTCATGAACTTCCTCAACGGTCAGTTTATGCCGAGGGCAAGGTCCATGTTTCAAGCCATACCCTCTCTTGTGTGCTTCAGAATTTCCAGTTACCTCATCCTAGACACCTCCAGTTGAGCACCCTACCAGCCTGACAATGGAGAGCTCCACACACTGTTATGGAAGAGGGAGGTGCTCTCAGCAGGGTCCATGTGAACAGTGCCGTCTGGAGTCGTAAGGCAGTGCTGGGCACCATGGTAACGGAGAGGTTCCTATGCAACCAAATAAGGCTTTGGGATCTGTACTTAAAAGTTAATTATGGGTACACAAAGACGAAACAAGGACTTACGAAATTCTGGACTTCACAGACCCTAGACTATATCTGAAATATAGTCTTATAGCTTAAAAATGGTATTCCCTGGAGCAAAAAAAAATCTCTTTTAAAAAGCAAACTTTTAGAATTCACAAGTATTTTAAAATAACATTTTATCTATCACGAAATGTTAACTAATAAAGGACATTTAAGAGACAATTACCATTTCCTAACACTACCATTTAAAAAGGGTACTTATGCACACACACACACGACATGTAATTTCAAAATAAGGGACAAACAAAAGTAGCTACAAGAAAAGCAGCTAGTACATTGTCTGGGTTTTTAAATATCATCACAGATTAATGTGCAGTATCACACATGAATACTCATCCAAGGATCTCTATATGTGGGAGCCTCTGGTTTCATTTCTGGCTAAGAGGTTAGGATATGGTTCCCCCAAGCATGAAATATTAGTCTCCTAAGATTCCGTGAAAAAAGGATGACCTGGTTTCAAATAAGCTTGAGGAACACTGTGTACCAGAGCCCCTCCTCTTAAATATTCATGATGTTCATATGGTAATAAAGGCTCCGAGAATCTTTGGGTAAAGAAATTTGTTTCACTGACCTTGGAAGGATTTGTGTACTTCACCTGTGATCACCCCTGAGAACTATTATTATTTGGCTACACTCGAATATGAAGTATTTGGGTTAAAATATGAAATACATTGGGTTAGAGGAAGAGTAGACACAATTTTAGCTTACTGATGCTGATGTCCTAAAGCACAGAGCGCTCGCTCTCAACTTTCCTATCCCTACCATCAGAGAAAGAGCCGTGAATGGCCTGGTGGCTGCTGGGCTATGACTGGCTGCTCTGAGAATCGTCTGTAAGCTTCTGACACTCTCATGCCCATTACTCATCTCTCTACTGTCTGGTGAGACCTCTCCTTTGCGAACACAGAAGGGGTCTTCTGACTCGGACCAGAGCTCATCCAAAAGGGCCGGCCTCCTGTGTGATGAGAACTTCAAACGTGAAGTCCACACCCAGCAGTCCCCCCCAGATCTTGAAGGTGACCTGACCCACCAACCGAGACTTCAGGTCAACAGGGCGACTCACCTGTATAAAATAAACCCTAACACTTTTTACAAATCTTATTCAATGCTCTCTTTCTTCTTCACTGACAGGGCATGGACCTGCGCAAGGCCAGCTCTAGTGAGGGTCTGAAACATTTCTCCACGTAGGTGGAATCTAAGTCGACCAGGGGCCTGTTCTTTCCACAGAACGCCTCTCCAGAAGAGTCTATCTAAATGGCTTCAAATGATCTAACAAAGGCACATGGACTCAGTGTTAAGGTGGAAAAAGAAAAGGAATGCTAGTTTAGTTTGGAAGTATTTTTATCTTAGAACAGAAGGTCTCCAAGGAAAGGCCCATGACACTGTTGTAAAATCAGGTACACAGGTTTGCCATGATCTCTTCAGCATTTCTAACAGGACGAGGATCAGGCCCCTCCCTCTTCTCATTTTCCTTCCTATTTCGTGAAGGAACTATGTAAACCAAGAGAAGGCTGATGGTGGAACTATAACATTGTAAAAACTTAACTCGAAGTATTAGACTCTCCAAATTCACATATTAAATTAGAGTTTAGAAGAACAGTGCCTTGTACTTCACAGAAATTCAGAATTTCTGAATTACAGAAGGCATTTGGTATTCTGTAGAAATGGAGAAAAGGCATTTGGTAGTTCTCTGAAGCAAAGTTAGGCCTAAAATGGCACAAAAATGCCCATTTAGGATACCGCTTCCTTCATGATGAAAACCTTAAAGGAAAGCCTGCTGGAACTGTGCACTGCACCTTTGGTAGGAAAACGAGGTACTTCAGAACGATGAGAACTTTGGACATGAGGTAATGCAGGGAAACTCATTCTAATAAATCTCTCATAATCAACTACTGTGTAAACGAGTGGATGACTCCTCCTGTAGATTAAGGTTTTGGTTTCATGCTGGCAGCAGGTGAACTACAGTTACGTAATAAAACGTTCTGACAGCTGTTCCACAGAAACTAGCACTGGCTGCTTATTTCTAAGTGGGGAGGCCAGGTACTGGTTTCGTAAGTTGGACTCAAACAGACTAGCACCCATACCCAGGTGAAAACTTCCTCTCGGAAAAGATGCACCGCTATGTAGTTCAAGTGAGTTTAACAAAGACGGACAATCAAAGGAGGTGCATAACATGTGGGTGCAGAGAAAGGAGGAGAGCCGCATTCATGGCACATCCACCACGTACGGATGCGTACCAGGGGCTTCACACATTCCATAGGAAACCGAGTACTTACATAGTATTCAGCAGAACTGACGGGACTTCCAGCCCTGAGAAGTAGCCTCGGAGGGAGGGAGCCAGCGCATCTGAAAAGACATGTGGGGAGAAGGCCGTGAGCCAGGGCTCCCCAGCATATCCCCATTCTCATGGAGGATCCTGCTTGGCTGCCACTGCCCCACTGTTGCAAGATGGTACCCACTCACACTAGCCTGTGAGGGTCTCTTCCCCAAGGGGCTGAAAAGCATCAGAGCAGTGTCCTGAGAGGCGTTCCACACACCCTTATGAACACACGGGCAAGCTCTCCAAGGAAAGCACCCACCTCGAGAAGCGCCCGAGGTGTCACCAACTCCTCTGCTCTCATCCTCCTTTTAAAGGTTAGCAGCCATTTTGAGGCTAACATCCGGCACAGCGAACTCCTTTGCCTGGGCCTACGCTGGTGAAAGGCTATCTAAGGGCTTTCTAAGCAGAGTGTGGAAACAGCTGCTTTGGGAAGGAAGGGGCAGTTCATGACCCCATCCACGCCAGTGGCTGGCCAGGACTTCTTTGCGATACTGTTCCTGTTCTTTTAGAAAAAGGGTTCCAGCTTCTTGGTACTGTGGGTGTCTGGTACCCCAGGCTCTCTGCTCACCCTGCTAAGGAGATGGGCCTACAGCCTTTAGCAAGTAGCCCCCCAGGTGGGACCAGCAGCCCTGTCTCTTCCATTAGCTTTCCAAAGTGGAAGGCCAGCCGCAAACACAGGTGGATTGAGCAACACTTTGTCCACCTGGCAGCATATTCCAGGTCCTATGCCAAGGAAAACATGGAGGGGGGAAAAAAATGGTTGGGCGCAGTGGCTCACACCTGTAATCCCAGCACTTTGGGAGGCCAAGGCGGGCGGATCACCTGAGGTCAGGAGTTCGAGACCAGCCCAATCAACATGGAGAATCCCCATCTCTACTAAAAATACAAAATTAGCTGGGCGTGGTGGCGCATGCCTGTAATCCCAACTACTTGGGAGGCTGAGGCAGGACAATCGCTCGAACCCGGAGGGCAGAGGTTGCGGTGAGCTGAGATCGTACCACTGCACTCCAGTTTGGGAACAGAGCAAGATTTTGTCTCAAAATAAACGAAACAAAACAAAAACCAAAAGGGCAAGCACACTTAGTCCTTAACGGCATCCATCACTGGCCATGTCAGTTTCGGACACAGGAAGGAGACGCCCGCCTGTCACCGCTCTTCCTTTCACAAGGAGGCGGCATGGTCTCCCCATGACCACCATGAGCGGCCCAGAAGCACGGCTGGAGTGGAGAAGGCGAGGCCTGCAGGGCCAGGTGAGGCAGTGCCCTCCTGCAGGGTGGCAGAGGAGAACTTACTCAGATCTCCAAAGCTTCACAATGAAGCAGGAGCCATTCTGGCCGAAAGGGAGGTGCAGGGGGGTCTGGGAAGCAGCGCTGCACAACGCTGGGCTCTGAAGGGACTGGTGGAAAACTCCTGCCTCATCTTGTTTTACAGGTGTGGACACCAACTGAGGTCTGGGGATTCTCAATGACCTGGGTCACAGGGCCCAGTGGGGTCAGAATCCAGGATGAGGTCCCATGAGATCCCCGAACTTGATTCTAAAAGCAGGGATGTCTAGAAATTGGGTCCTAGGGAAATCCGACAGCACCCTGACCTTGCCCCTGGTCCGAGCACAAGAAGGCCTGGGAGTCTCTTCCCCACGGGCCTCCTCATGAGCGGTTCTTTCCTCGCTGGCCTCACTGAGTCTGGAAATGCAGGCTTAGGACACGATGGAGCTTCTGCCTGCACGACTCCCTTAGGCCGCCTGTGCATTGGGTCTCCTCTGGCGACCATGGCAGATATGACCAGAGATCAGATGACCAGCACGAGCAGGCTCCCCGGTATCGGGGAAAGGCAAAGTTGCTGTCCTCAGGGCCACCAGCTGGTACCAAAGCTCATTTAAGGCAGGGCCGGGGTCACTCCCAGCACTCATTGCAATTACAGGGACAAGGGTCAGAAACTTCCCATGCAGGGAGGCTGGAGAACACACTCCTCTGGGAAATTAGAAGTGTGTTCAGAACAAAAGGAGGGCAATAGTGGGGAAGATGGGAGTGAGGTAGGGACGGGCAGGGAGGGGGACAGAAGAGTCCAGGGAAGAAGAAGGAGAGCAGAGGTGGGGAGAAGAAAGAACTCATACCTACCCATGGCTCACGGCCTGGTGCATCTGAATCCACTTGCTCACTAAGCAAAGAGCAGAGTTGGAGCTGCCTTCCTGAGACAGGTGGGAAAGGATGGGGCGGGGACACAGAGCCCCCATGGCAGGTGGGGGCTGGACACCTAAACACACAGTAGAGGGTGATGGGTCTGTGTGCACTGGGTCAGTGTGGAGCGCAGGGGTGCGACTGGTGCGGCCTGGGTGTGGGTTGGGGCACTGAGCCCCGACGAGGCCAAGACACAACGGTGTTTCACAGGAGACACAGGAAGGGGAGAGTCGCACAGTGGATGGCATGGTTCTGCTTTCGGTGCAGGTGACTGCGAGAAGGAAGCCCGGCCCCAGCCTCTCTGACCAGCTCTCGCACACAGCCCTCACGTTCTCACTCGCACAGGTGCCTGCGGGGTTGAGGACGAGCGTGCGGCCCGTCGTCAGGCTCTAGTCAGCCTGGTCGAGGCGCACTCCAGAGTGATATGAAGGCGGGTTCCGAGCTGTGGGGTCCGGGGGGGCTGTGCTCAGCTGAGGAGTGAGGACGCCAGTGATGCAATAGGTGGCTGCTCCTCAGAGTGGATGTGGTGGCGGGTGACGGACACACAGAGACCCCTGAATTCATTGCTCTTGTGTCTCAGGCTAGGACACTACGTGCTTGCCAAGTGGGGGGCTCTTCTCACCGCATCCACAGACACCCAAGGCCGCCTCGTCTTCCAGCCTGAGAGGCTGCGCTGCGCCCAGCTTCCAGCAGAGGGCAGTGCCCCCCAGGCCAAGTCTGAGCGGCTCATCCAGGTTCCTGCACTGCAGCCAGGGAGAGTGGCAGGGCTCATGGTGCACAGCAGAGTTCGGGCAGCTGGCCCGGGTAGGGGGAACAAGCTCCTCTGCGCTAATCACTGTGCGGGGTTAATGAGGAGAGGGTTCTCTCTTAGCCCCATTCGGGCTGCTTGTTCTGCTCGGCTTTTGGCCCCAGGTCACTCCTGCCCATCCCATAAGGGCTGCTTTACAGTGCTTAACGGGAAAACCTACAGTTCCCTCCAGACTGCCTGCGTCAAGGTCCCCTCCAAACAGTTCAGCAGGCTAGTTTAGGGCTCCTCATTAGAATAATGTAGGGCTGGCCTTCCATGCAAGGCAGTGGCCCCTGACATTTCTTCATGCCATGTGCAGAAAACGTATGTGTACACACACGCGCGTGCGCGCACACACACACCCTTTCTCTCTTCCCCCATAGTTCTCTCAAATGTGCACACTCAGTCTTGCACACAATTCCAGGGGCTTCTCAAGACCCTGTGAGAAACTTTAACACAATATACTTAACCAAACTGGCCCTGATACTTAGTCTGTGCCAGAGACTGCGCTAAGCACTTCACACAGCCTGTGACATCTAAGGCAACATGGACCACCCTGGGAATCTTCTCCACTAGAATTTACAATAGTAGTAACAGTTGTCACTATGTTAGAGTTCACTACCCAGGGTCACACTGTTTGGGATTCTACCATCACTCTTCTTCAGGAATGCTCTAAAAATGCAGTGCCCCTGCATGGCTAACACGGTAAGTCTCCAACACTTAGCACGGTGACGGACTGGACAACAGGAGAGCACCAAGACACCCAGGAAAAGCAGCAGCTCAGAGTAAAAATCAAATGGAATGCTAGAGAAAGCGGCAGCCACCCATAAAAATAACTTCCATCCTTTCCCATTTATAGATGAGAAAATGAAAGGCCAGAGGATTAAATACAGACAGAATTTATGTTCCTAATACTGATGCCAAGGACAGGAAGACCTTGACTAGTCTCGGGAGGATGCCCTGCCTGAAGCACCAGCCCTTCTGCAGTGGTGAGTGACTGGCACAGGGTAAACCTCTAACACTACAGTAATGATTTCCACTGCACTGTCCCCTCTCTAGGGGCTGAATCCCACTACCATACCTGCCCTTAGAAGAAGTCACAAGAAGTGCTTAGCAAGTGACTGGCTCAATTAATAGTCACTACTGAAAGTAAACACTCTCTGGTTTGACTGTTTTCTTCTCTGGGGAATGAAGGGGTAAACCCAGACAGTGGTTCTCAGGTTCCTGGACCATTGGCATCACCTGGGAACTTGTCAGAAATGCCAAAACTCTGGGAGGGGCCTCCAGTAAACAGCACTGTAACCAGCCCTCCAGGTGATCGCCAGGTACATGCTCAAGTCTGGCAGATGCTGCTCTTAAAGTTTCGAAAAGCATGGCTGGACGAACATTGGTCTAGAAATGCTCTATGTCGAGGACATTAGAGAGAAATGCACAGTTTGGTCCCTTCAGCAGTTTCTTGATACATATCGGCAAAGGAAGGGCTCCGAGAAGTTCCGTAAAGAAACCTGTTTGACTTGATCTAGACCTGTGCTGCCCAAGTTTATCCAACTGCAGGCTCTCTGGATTATGGGACAGCTGTGCATCCCTGTGGGTGTTGAGAAATGCTCGTCTGGAAGGCCCCTTGCAGTGGCAGCATTTGGCGGATCTAAGAGGCTGGGCTGTGCCATTGGCATGCTTTGAGCTGGAAGATAGACCGCCAAACCCGCTAGCGCTCTGATGTCTCATTCACATGGAGCAGCTAAAGATTTTCTCTTACCTCCCCTTGCGCAGGTGCTATACCTGAATGCAGGTTTCCCCTGCACCACATTCAGAAGTCAGCTATCCCTCTTTGAACAAAATAGTTAATGACAGTAGCTTGGGCAGGGTGCAGTGGCTCACACCTATAAACCCAGCACTTTGGGAGGCCGAGGCGGGTAGATCATGAGGTCAAGAGAGAGAGACCATCCTGGCTAACATGGTGAAAACCCGTCTCCACTAAAAATACAAAAAATTAGCTGGGCGTGGTGGTGCTCGCCTGTAGTCCCAGCTACTCAGGAGGCTGGGGCAGGAGGATTGCATGAAC